TTGTCACATTGGTTGATCTCCGAAGTTTGCGACTCAAAAGTTCCGATCTTTGGTGATATTTATATGATGTTTAACATGGCTGACCATATCATCCAAACATGTCAGTTCACAATTGCCTGGAATTTCCCCAGCGACCGGGCGTTGATCTATTCGCTGACTTCTTTCCATTACTTATTTTTAAAATGGATATATGAGTCAAGGTCAGGTGCATGCTCCGTTTTGTTCTTCCTGTATCAACAATTGTGCGTCTGCAGTCTTGTGGGGTTTTTTAGCCATTTTCTCATGTCAGCACTTCTCGGGGTCCCGTCCTTTCTGATCCCGTTGACTCGTTGTTCGACCACTTGGTCTATCCAATGTATTCCCCCTCATGATACTAAAGTTAATATATTAAGTTTATGAACATGTGATACATAAAAAACAATGATGCGTCCTGTATTACAATTCTATACAATGAACTTATAGTTATAATTGTTCTTCGCCATTCAGTAAGTTAAACGACAGCACTTAAAGTTCATACCAACATCAGATAACGTGCATTACAACAAACAATGCAGTAATACGCTTCAACACTCATGAATATTGGACTCAGCAAAACAAACACAAACCGTCTCCCGTGTACTAATGCCTGTGCTTAACCCTTTCCATTTTCGTTTTAAGAAATATAATAAACTCATCACAGCAATAAGTATAACAAATTGCAGTACAACAATCAAATGAGATATAATTTTAATCCATTAATGTACCTGGGTGTTCAGTTTCCAATTCCAGTTCAATACCTCGTAGCTGGGAAGTTGAACCAGCCTCTTCTGCATGAACGTTAATATTTTTGTCGATTCATTGACGGTTTACCTTGCCTCTGGGAAGATTTCTGCCCAATCCTCAGTGAAACGTGGAATGGGAGGTTTTTTTTTTTTTAGTTCATTCGTGGGGCAAGGGCATCGTTGACGAGACCAATATTTATTGCCCACAGGGCAGTTAAGAGTCAACCACACTGCTGTGGGTCTGGAGTCACATGTAGGCCAGATTCCTTCCCGAAAGGCCACTAATGAACCAGATGTTTGTTTTTTCAATTATTTCCCCGTCCCCTGACAATCAACAATGGATTCACAGTCATCATTAGACATTTAATTCCCTCTGCCGTGTTTGAGATTCCAACCGGGCTGCCCAGAAAGTTAGTGCGGTCGTGGAGTTAACAGCCCAGCGATGATGCCACTAGGCCATTGCCTTCCCCTAGCTTCAGTGACCACAAGTCGCCTTAAATCGTCCTTGCTACCATTTGGATGTACAAATAAAATTTATTTTCAGCTTTTCATTGTATTCTGGTTTGGGCAATACCTTGGGACGAATCATTAATTCAAAGGAGATTTTACGAATAGCGACATTCTGTCATTATGGAGTAAACCAAGTCTGTCGCTTTCGGTATTCAGGCGCTGCCGTGGTGACATGGTAGGTGAATCCTACTAAGGCACATTTAGGGAAAGATTCTTTATTACTTGGGGTGATAGATAATGAGCAATTTTCATTGGAAGTAAATCTACACTGAGTTAGCCATTCTTTAAATATTTCTTGTGGATTTGCCGAGTGGTTTCCTCCCAAATGGTATTGGGACAAATCCATCCCCCACACCACCACTCCCTTTTTTGGACCAAAAACAAAGTTGCTGGAAAAGCTCAGCAATTCTGGCAGCATCTGTGAAGGAAAAAAACAGTGTTAACATTTCGGGTTAGGTGACCGTTCCTCAGAACCAGATGGGTCTTTCCTGACAATCAACAATGGATTCACAGTCATCAGTAGCCTTTTAATTCCATTTGCCATGGTTGAGGATTCGAAACTGGGTCCCTAGAATCTTATCTGTGTCTCGAGATTGAGCACATGTTTGAACCCTCTCTCACGACAGCATGGGTTGGTGAGTTACTTTACGATATTCAAGTTTCTCCATGGTATTTGGCCCACATTATGAACTCTCATTGTGGGCGGGCAAATGTTG